CCTGTCCCCATCTCCTTTTACCAGGCGCATCTAGACAAGATGGAAACTATTCAGTGGGGATTCTACCTTCCCCCCCACACTCTGAAACTAAATGCCCTCTTGAAAACTTGTAAGCCAGTCATTTCGTGCCTTTATAGCCCTTCCCATTTTAGGTAGCCATTTTCTAAGTTGCCCATACCTGTTTACCCTGTATACAGAGGGGATAGGATTGATCCTTGATGTGAAGACTCCTTCACTTTCAGTTGCCACTTTGAGCTACTATTTCCATAAATACAGGTCAAGTTCATCAAATTGTAGCAATTTACATGTGTTTCCTTCATCTTTTATCTTGCTCTTGTCAAGTTCTGATCATCAAGCCATCGAAGCCAGGTCGAATGGGTACTATTACAAGTTTGGACGTTCTTGTTCATCCCCCCTCACTTCACATCAGCTGGGCATTTTGTTCTCAGCTCCAACCCTTTGTGGCTGTGTCCTTGTCCATGGGCTCAGGAATCCCCAAGTCTCACCGCACATCAGACCAACCAGTGCTTCCTCTTCTCTCTCTCATCTCCAGGTCAACGGGAGTCTATTGAACATGGTCAACCTTGGCCCATATCTTCATTATTGCTTTTCCCCCGTCTTCCACTCACCAGGAGACCATTGTGGTCGCCAGCAAGCTTACATTCCCGCTCATGTGTTCTCTTTGAGTTTCAGTCTTGGAGGAGGATTTGTCCTAAAGTTCATTGCTTCCCTTGATGGCTTCCCAGAAAAAAGCTTGCTTATCTTGTAGTAGCCAATCAGACTGCCATTTTTGTTTTGGATTTTTCCTGCTGGTCTTTCTTTTGAGAAGTATCTTCTGTTCCTCTCGCTGGTCTGCTAGAGAAGTATCTTCTGTTCCAGGCTGGTCTGCTTTTTCTTTCAATTAGGAATGTTTCACCTCAGAAGGCTCTGGATGGGGCTCAGGATTCCACCGAAGGTCCTATAGACTACAAAGGCTCCACAGGAAGCCTATATCACTGGGCAAATTCTAGAACTCCTTTTAGATATTCCAGTCAGTTATAAGTTGAAGACGGGCTTACAAGCTCTCTGTAATCATGGTTCTGATACTCCTTTCTATCCCACTCAAGTGTCTAATTTACAGTGGTAGATGGAGGAAACCAGTATTCATAAGACAGTCAAGCATCTTAGAGAATTACTTTTGATATGCGATATTGAAGCAGGATTCTGTGCCCTCGTCCCTTGCAGGCCCCACAGTGCTAGAAGTCTTCAACACCTTACTGAAGCACTTGCGTCTCAGTGTGGAACTTGAAGCCGGTGATGCGCAGGGATGCTCCGTCAGCAGCACCAGCTCAACCCCGGGGTTCAAAGACAGCGATGAGAAGATTGTGCAGAATGCAATCATCCAAACCATAGGTGAGTCCAGTACCCTTTCAAACCTATCAGATAAAGCAATTACTGAAAAATACCAAGTCAAACAGAGAACAGCAGTACATTTGTCAAAGATGAGTGACAATTTAGACTTTTAAAAGCACTTTTCATTTTGAAGATAAGCAACAAGTTTGTATACATTTGTATAAATATACATGAAAGCAAGGAAACGGTTTTTCTACTTTAAGCACCATACTATTATAGAGTTGCCAGATCTTATTTTAATGTGGCTGCAGAAATGCACTGATCATTTCCAAATTGGCTTGTGTTCCATGGGTTTGGCACTGAATTTCTAATGGTCAGTGGTGGTGGCTGGGTGGGGTCAAGTCAGTCCTGACTCATAGCGACCCTGTATAGGATTTCCAAGGCTATAATAGCCTCATTTTCTTCCTGGAGCACTGAGTGGAGTTGAACTGTTAACCTTGTAATTAATAGCCCAATGTGCACTATGTCACCAGAATTCCTTCTAATGGTCTTTAATGATTATTGTTAGTGTCTTTAATGATTGTTGTTAAGTGCTGTGGAGTTGGTTTTGATTCATAGTGACCTTGTGTAGGGTTTCCTCCCTGGAGTGTAACTAGTGGAGTTGAACGGCTAATGTTGTAATTAGTAGCCCAATGCATACTATGCCGCCAAAACTCCTTCTAACAGTCATGAGAAGTGTCTTTAATAGTTGTTTAGCACTCATAGTGACCCTGTATTGGGGTTGCAAAGCTTTAATTAAATCTTTGTGGAAACAGAAAGCCTCACCTTTCTCCAGTGGATCAGCTGCTGAGCTCGAACCCTAGACCTTATTGTTCACATTCCAGTGCTTATCATATGGAACCACCGTGCCCCCCTCTTTTATAGTAAAGTCATACATAAATTGGTCCCGGAGCTTGGCTTCTGCCTTTTACTTGGGTCATTTTCCCACTTGTGGCCTAGTTGTTTATAAGAGGGATACGTAATAGGAAGTTTCTCTTTGTCATCTTGGGTCTGAGCTGTGTTCTGTGTGCACATGCATGCATCCCTGTCTATCACAGCTCATTGAAGATCTCCAGGCTGCTGTCGCAGGCTTGGGCCAGGCTCCATCCCTGTAGAGACACTGCCACCAGCCCACCCTGCTATAGTCTGCCAGGCACATAGACCTTGTTCTTAGGAGGAGGACAAGGACCTAGGCAAGTCCTGTTTGTCACACTCCCTAACACAGTGGGTGCTGAAGAAAGATTTTGGGATTGATTGAATAACCATGAACCTCAAAAAAGAGACTTTCTTGTTTTTGCTTTAGACAATTTGTATCAGCATGTAATGATTCTAAGTTCTGTGGTGAGTCACGTTTACTTGGATTGTAGGCTGACCTCGGAGATATTGAGGGTCGGTTGGTTCCAGAACACCACCACAAAGCTAAGATTGCAGTAAAGTGAGCTACACACAGTTGTTGGTTTCCTAGTGTATATAAAAGTTACGTTTGGACTCTACCGTAGTCTCTGAAGTAAGCAGTGCATCACAAAAAAGTGTGAAGTATTGTGAGAATAACCGCAGTGCAGAACAGAGACACAATGTGAGCACATGCTGTTGGCAAAATGGTGCCCATAGATACAGGGTTACCTCCCAACCTGTATAAAGACTCCATAAAGTGAAATGCCTTAAAGTGAGATATCTGTGGAGTTTTGTGATCCTCTAAGATGACATAGCTAATCAGCTAATTTTATTTTCATAGAATTAAATTGCTTAGTTGTTGTTGTTAATTGCCGTCGACTCAGTTCCAGCACCTAGTGACCATCTTTATGAGAGCAGAAAGCCTTGTGTTTCTCCCACAGAGCAGCTGGTGGGCACGAACTGCCTGTTTCCCTTTAGGGTATTGTATTCTACAGGCACACACAACAAACTCACACACTATTTCTGTGTCACAACACATTCAGAGTAACATGGGAGAATTAAAACGAGAGAAAGAAATGCCATGTGGTACAGGGAGTAAGATCATTTAAGAATTACACTTCTCATTCCCTTAGTGGGTTTTGCTGTGATGTACTCTGTATCCTGGTAGGTATTGGACTGTGTGGGCCATGAAACGGGCTGTGGTAGCTTCTACCCTTTGCATTTTGAGGCTGTTGATCAAGTCTTCCTGCTTAGAGCATGTCGGTCTCTGCTGGGGTGTTTCTGTCATTAGTATTGCATTTCAGCACTTGTAAACAGCTCAGGGGAGAGAGAGTTGGCTGCGTTCGAAGACTTTGTCTTCATTGTTGATCCTGGTGGACACTGTGTTTTAAATTAAAAACAATAAAACAAACGTTAAAGCATACACTAGTTCCCTTTCTGTCTTCCTATGATTATTTTCCGTTTTTTATCCGTGGTGTGGCACTGTAGAATCAGCACTGGACTGCAGACCCCAAAGTCAGCAGTTCAAACCCACCAGCTGCTCCTCAGAAACCCAATACTGGACTATTATGAGTTGGAACTGACTTGATGGTACCTAACCACAATAACATCATGACTTAGCATCTGTCAAGCTGAGGTCAGTTGATCATGTATTTGGGAGAGAAAGATCAGAATTGCCTTAGCACCATCGTTCCCAAACTTTGCCACCCATTGAAATGACTTTGGGAGCCTTTAAAAAAAATCCTGGTTCCTTCTCCAGATATTCTGATTTAATCGATTGGTAGTATAACCTGGCCATCAGGAATTTAAAATCTCCTCAGGTGACTCTTAACAGCAGCAACATTTAGGAATCATTGGATGAGGGGAAACCGTTGTACACTTGTGAGAAACAAGAGACATAATGAGAAATTCATGATCTGAGTGTTATTGAAGACATGCTGCCCCCTAGTTACAAAAGAGATCTGTTCCTAAGGGCATCTTTAAGTTGAATTTGTGGGTAAACTGGAACCGATGCTCACAGTTTTATTTAGCCTTACTTTAGGGCAAGAAAAGACTTGAAGACTTTGTAAGGATTTAAAAGTGGTACATGCAGCCAGTGAAGGTAATTGTGGTGAAGAATGGGTTGCAGTGGAGGTTGGTTCAGGCCTGCCAAAGGGAAGGCCCAATTACATCCTCCCACAGGGCCAGTGGAGCCTATGTCCTGTCAGGAACCCAGGGACTTCCTGTGCTGGGAGACATGCTGCCGCTGTGCGCTTACAGCTTACAGCACTGCCTCTGCTTGGGCTTGTGTGGAACCTGTTACCTAGAAGAGCATGCCAGCTTCAGTCTTTGTGATAATAATGGATTGACTGGGATCGAAAATCAGTGTCCAGTTTTACGAGTGGCTAGGAACATTGCTACCTGGCACCTTGGAAAGTTAAAAATGGCTTCCGGAGGCAGTGTAGAGTAATGATATCTTAGCATTTGGAATTAGCGTAGTGGTTATGAATTGGGCTGCAAACCGCAAGGTCAGCAGTTCGAAACTACCAGCTGTTCCGCGGGAGAAAGATGAGGCTTTCTGCTCCTGTAAAGATTTACAGCCTCGGAAACCCTGTATAGGGTCGCTATGGGTCAGAACTGACTCCACAGCACATAACAACAACAACAACGTCAAGCCTTAGTACTTACTAGTTGTATCCTTTCTTGTGGGATTCTCCACAAGAGGAAACTGAGGCTCAGAATAGCTTCTAGACTCATGTGATTGCTGTGAGGAGCCAAAGAGGTCCTGTGTCGGATGGCTTTCCCCTCAGAGTTGCGTGTGCTGTGGGGGCCCCGTAGACTGGGGTCCTTGACCCAGAGTAAGTCGTGTGTGATGGTGAGAGTTTTGAGGGAAGTAGGAAGAGTGTGTGATAATGGGAAACAACTTCGCCCGAGGCTCAGTCAGTCAGGGTGCTGCAGGCTGGCCTTGGATTTGCCGACCGAGATGATTCACTGCAGTCATAAAAGCTGACGTGGTACCCTGGAAACCCAATTCATTTTTAAAGAAATCCTGAAAATGTGAAAGCGTTCTGTGATGCTTATTGTATATTAAGAAATGAACAAAAACAGCCAAGATCTGCTCCCTGGTCTGATCTCCCAAAAGAAATGCGCAGCTGTGAAGTGGGAGAAAAATCGTATTAGTAATTACTGCGAGTCCACGTTTATGACCAGGAAGTAAATCAACAAAAGCAAGAAGTACATAAACTGAAGATCTCCTCATAACCAGGCATTTATTTTTATTGTTTAATCATTTGAATTATGTTTGTAGACTTAAACCAGGACGTTAACCGATAGACCTGGCTAGTTATACTAACCTATGAGCAGTCCTGGATTATTACTGTCTTCCCCTGGTGTGGTGCTGTGAGCTAATGTGCCAGACTGCAAAGCCGTGGGAACTGCAGGCTCACCAGTTGCTCTTTGGAAACCCTATACAGGGTTGCTATGGGTCGGAACCAACTCGATGGCACTTAACAACAACTTACCTGTCGAGGGGTCCTGGTGGTGGCACTGTGGGCTAACATGCTGGACTGCAGAGTCATTTGAACCACAAGGTTGGTGGTTCAAGCTCACCAGCTGCTCCTTGGAAACCCTATACAGGATTGTTATGGGGCGGAAACGACTGGACAGCACTTAACAACAACAACAACATACCTGATGAGGAAACCCTGATGGCGTGGTGGTTACAGTTGGGCTGTTAACCACCAGGTCAGCCATTGAACAGCCCCTGCATGTGAGAAAGGTGGGCAGTTGCTCCCATAAAGATCTCAGCTCTGAGTTCTGCTCTGTCCTAGAGGGGCGCCGAGGCAGGGTTCACTCTGGCAGTAGGGGCCGTTTTTGGTAGTGTGTTTTTTTTAAAAACCAGGCAAAGATGACCTAATTACTGACTATACCAGGACAAGAGTTTAGGCTCATAATGTATGAATAACTATTTCATCAGAAATACTACCAAAAGTTTTATTTTTTGTTTTCCCCTTTTTTTCCTAAAACTTCCAATCAGCTCAAATTGATGAAGATTTGCAATTTAAACTATATGCAAAAGACTGTTTCAGACATTTATTATTGTCTGAAATAAAATTTTGTTGTTGTTATGGGTCTGACCCATAGCGACCCTGCATAGGGTTTCCAAGGAGTGACTGGTGAGCTTGAACTGCCGAGCTCCATGAAATAAAATAAGTCCATTATATTCAGTCTTAAACTGTACATGAATAAATGAGTGTGGACAAATGAAATTAAAAGGTCTTTAGAATTATATGTAGTTTAAAATTAATAACTTATAGCATAAGTAATGAAGTAATACAAATGTGGTAGTGGCGGTTATGTGCCGTGGAGTCCATTCCGACTCATAGCGACCCTGTACAGGCTTTATACTAACTTAAATGTAACTTAGTATAAATAGCAGAATAGCATTTTATATATTTTAGGGATCTGGGAACCAAGCAGATTCAAATAATCTTGTTTTGGGTTAAAAATAAAATATATTATCTGGAAAAAGATACTTTTCAATTTATAAAATTTACCTTGCTATTTCCTAACAGGATTTTTTGGAAGTAACCTACCAGACTACCAGAGGTCAGAAATCATGATGTTCATTATGGGGAAAGTACCCGTTTTTGGAACAACCAACCACGCTTTGGATATTAGTCAACTAGGGTATGTGGTTTCCCCATGTTCTCCAAATGCAAATCCGAACTTAGCCTTGGTTCAGTTTCACCTTAAGGACTCGAGAAAGTGTTAGTTTTGTCTCTGAATTATTAGTAGTTTAAAAGTCCCACAGAACACAATTGGTATTTTTATTGCTCTTGGTAGCTCAGTAGCTAAGTCAACATTTCCATTCTGTTAGGAGCAGTTTTTCAGTGTCTCTTAAATGCTGATTTTCTGTGTCTTGGATCTGACTGTTTTGTAGCGGCCATGTGGAAGATTTGTTTGGCCTGTGCATTATGTGCACACCTACACATTTGGGGCAAAGCTTCAGATTCCCTATAAAAACATTTTAAATTAGTGTCAGAATAGCAAGAATATGGAGTTATTCTTAGAATATTAGAACTGAAAATGATGTTCAAGGCCAGTTCTTCTTGACCCCTTGTTTCACAGATGTGGTTTGATTTTATAAGATGCTAAAGCTTAAAGGTTTGTGCCTATTAAAGGTTTGTTTTGCTAATGTAACCAGGAAATGTAATGTCTTCTTTGGTTTATATTTAACCATTACATAATAATCCCCTTTCTGTTTGTTACCTCTGTTTTGAATTGTCTGTCCTGTATATATTTGCGTTGTGTAGTTAGCATCCAAATGATTTCATGTTCATGTAGTCACATGTACAAATGTGTTTCCTTGGAGAATCAATACTTTTGAATTTTATTTTTCTTTTGGTTAGAATATGATTTTTTTTTTCACATCAAGTTCTTTTTAACTGATAAGAAATTTACCTAGAGTACAAAGTGATTCACAGTTTTAACTGTTAAAGCCTATTTAGCTGATAATAGTAGAGTTTTAAAGCTAGGTACTTATAGCCTAAGTAATGAAGTAATATCAATGTAAATTTGTCTGAATAACTTAATAGTATTTTGTATGTTTCAGGGACCTGGGAACCAGACGAATTCAAATCATGTTGTTGCGGTCTTTACTTATGGTAAGGCATTGCAGACAAATAGAGGACATACTGAATGTAATTTTTTTTTTAAGGTACAAGAATAGCCTCACATGATCAACTTCATTCCTTACAACATAATAGTTTGTTTTGTGGTTTCCGTATGGAAATACTATGCTCTTCATTTTCATCTCTGATCCTTTACTTCTTCTTACTGGTGATTCCTCACTTCTGTTACCTAACTTGATTCTCACAGTGATGACATTCACAGAGGACAGGAACAATTGCTGTTTTTGAGATGAAGCAGCTTAGGCCCCGAGGTGCACCAGGGGAATAGTTGAATCTCACCGAGGTCACAGAGCTAAAGAATAGAACTTGGACTTGAAATCTAAAATTTTTTCTACTGGTCACACTATTTCTTTTACATACTTACCAAATTGCTTTTTTTTTTTTTTTTTAAACCTGTTTATTGTGAATTGAGTGAAGGTGTCTGTACTTCATTTCAATCTCAATGATTGTAATCCCCTCAGGTCTGAATTTTGTTCTGCAATAAGTGCTGCCCTTTTGATCTCAGATGGCTGCTTGTTCTACAGTCCATGTGTCACTAGTGTCCCTGCTATAGCCCTGTCTGTCCCTGGGCTCCATAGTGGGCCATGGGGGAAGTTCAGCTCCAGACCTGAAGGTGGGTGAAGGGCCATAGTCTCTGAGTTCTACCGGTCTCTATTTGACGAGGAAGTCTAGTCTTTTTTTTATGATTTTGAATTTTCTTCCGCATTTTCTCCCATTTGATCAAGGACCTTCCAGTGTGATCCCTTTCAGAGACCAAATTGTCTTCCTTGTTTGGAAACTAGCCCCCCAAAATAATAAATTTTATTTTTAAATGTGGAGTGGCTCTAAAGAGCCGAGAAGGAAAAGCCCACCCCAGTGCGAGGCCTCGGAGTTGCATATAGTAATTGTATTCGTCTTTGATGTGCCTGTACCTAGCATAATGCAAGGGAGAAAATATTGCCCTTTAATACTGACCATTATTCAGATATGCTTAACCTCACTGAGCCCAGCACCTAGCTCACAGAAGTGTGGTAAGGATGAAGTTAATATCTGCACAGTTGTGAGCATTCAGTAAATGTGTGGCTTGTAGAAATTGTATTTTCCTTTTGAGAGATTGTAAATTCAGTAAAAGTCATCATCACCTCACACGTTGCTTTCCGTCGTGCCCGTACTTACCCTTTCCTTAATTGTGTGGTTCCTATCACACAGAGTTTGTCCCTTGACAAGTTCTCCTGACAAAGATGTGTGTGTTTCTTTTCCTCCCTTCGTCCAGGTTACCTCTGGATACAAAGCCAAGACCATCGTCACCGCGCTGCCTGCATCCTTTCTGGAACCCTTGCTGTCCCCGTCTCTCATGGAGGACTACGAACTGAGGCAGCTGGTCTTGGAGGTCGTGCACAACCTCATGGATCGCCATGATAATAGGGCAAAGCTTCGTGGGATCAGGTAACGTGCCCTTTCGAAATGGGCTTAGTGATCTTTGTTTTGTTTTAATTTCTAAATGAATATATTTAAATATTATGATTGTTTTTTACATTCAGGGTTTTCAGGTTCTGTTAATACAATCTGGGTTGGTTTGGGTTCAGTTTAATTCTTGAATATGTTTTAGGTAGTAAATACTTGAGAGTTTTAATGAACTCGTCAGCAAGCTCATCCATTCAGGCATGAGCTTTATTTCAATTTAAATTAAGGAGTGACATTTGGAGACCAGATGACTTTCTGTAATTTTGTTTCATTAAATTTGGTAAGTCATTAGTATCAGTACGTATGTTGTTGTTGTTGTTAAGTGCCAGCGAGTCGGTTTCAACCCATAGCGACCCTGTATAGGCTTACTTAAAATGCCCAATGTAATAGTTGCGAGCTGGTTTGAACTCCTAAGTATGATTTCCCATGTAAGAGATTTTAATTGACAATGATGTATTGATTGTTTCTAGAATAATACCCGATGTAGCTGACCTAAAGATAAAAAGAGAAAAAATTTGTAGACAAGACACAAGCTTTATGAAAAAGGTAAGATCTTCTTCTGAAAAGCAACGCACATGATGCGTTCTAAGCACGTGAGTGTCTAGGTCACTGCACCTCTAACCTTGGCACGAGCTGGTGACTCGAGCAGTGTTCTGGAGGAGCCTCTCTTTCAGCGTCATCCAGAATTTGTCACGTCCACACCATCAAAAGCCTAGACATACTCAATAAAGCCAAGTAAAGAGCTTTCTGATACTCTCTGCTTTCAGCTAAGACCCATCAGCAGTGATAGCCCAAGTTCCAAATCCTCTTCAGAATCTGGTTTGTAGTCCCTGCCAATGTCTTGTTGCAATCATTTTTCAATCTTCAGCAAAATTGAAACCAGTTTGCTTCGTCCACAGATAAAGGACGCAGATGGGGAGTTTCGTTTGGTATTTGCAGCCCAAAGCAGTGTGCTCACAGCACAGTCCCGCAGACTGGACCCACCCTAACCGTCTAGTCCCTGGCACAGCTACAGTGCTGCAGGCCCCCCTCTCAAGGGAGGGATCTTCTTGCATGCTAGAGCAGACGAGAATGCACATTTTCCACACACAGCCTGTTTTGGAGAGAGTCTGAGCTGTTCTTAATCAGCTCCTTGTTCTAAATTGGTCAGTCGGATACACCGGGAACGAGGCTGGGAGTGTTAGCTGAAGTCCCTTCCCGTGAGGACTCGAGGTCTCCTCACTGGTGTTCTTGACTCGGGCTTCATCTGACCTGAGGATCACTTAGTTTTCTGCTTCAAACGTGCTGCTGCCTGAGCTTCAGTGCTGGCCAGAGACATGACACTGGTGATTGAGAGGCAGACAGGAGCACGGTGGTCACTCCAGGCCTATAGTGCTGATGTACAACCAGTGCAACAAGTACCTTCCTTGTAGCGGTTTGGGTTGGGAAACGCTTTTTATTTCCATTTTCTCTCAGTTGGAGCTAGACCCAGAAATGCTTTCGATAGAAACTGGTATCTCGGGCCCATCCCTGAGGTGTCTTGTAACCTCTCCCCTACAGAGGCTCGGGAGTTTGCCTTTGGTAACCCTGTGCCAAAGACAGCAGAACTCGCAGCTCTTCCCAGGGAACAGCTCTAACAGGAGAGCACCGAGTGCGTTTCCCTGTCGGTCACACTGGTAATTTGCGAGTCTCGTCACATGGAGCCTCATTTCAAGTGTTCACTGAAATGAACGCTGGGTTATAAAGCGACTCTCATTGCTTTATCACGCGCCTCTCGCTTCTCCAATCAGTCCCTAACCTGTGGTTGTGTTTTCCCGTTTCCTGCTGTGAAGCCCTGAGAGCTGATACTTGATGGGCCACCTTCACAGGATGTGGTCCTGCTGCTCCTCTCTTACCCGTCTCAGTGGAACATGCTTGCGTTTCCTTCTCTGTCCTAGGTTCCGGCTTTCACAGGTTCTGCCATGCTACTCAAACATTGCTACTGTTTATGCAACAGCTATTTGTTACTTACAGTTTTTATTTAAAGTTTATACTTCAACTCTAAGGTTAGATGATAGTTGGTGTATTACTATGTTTATTCTTCTAACTGGAGGATAATTGGACCATCTGATTGCTAGCTTGATTGGACCTCCATGTTAAGTTTTGTAGTAAGATATTCGACTTGGTGGGAGGATGTATGTGTACCAAGTGTGCCCTGGAGACATTTTAAACAACAGAGGCCTTTTTGTTCTGTATCATTCCCTTTTCAGCACGGGCAACAACTCTACCGGCATGTCTATTTAGGCTGTAAAGAGGAAGACAATGTTCAGAAAAACTACGAGCTACTGTATACTTCTCTTGCTCTCATAACTATTGAACTGGCCAATGAAGAAGTGGTTATTGATCTCATTCGCTTAGCCATTGCTTTACAGGTATGTTCTCGTAACCTCCTCAGTGAAACACACTTTGTGCGGCAGACCCCACTTTTTAGGTGGTGTTGTCTAAATAAGGACATGAATGTTATCAATCTAGAATGCTGAAGACATGGTCACGTTTATTTATTCTCTGAACAACTACTGATGAGCACCGACTAGGTGCTCCAGGGTTGTTCACAGCCATAGACATGTGATGAAGACTGGCATGGTCCCTCTGCCCACGCTGGTTTCTGTCCAGTGTGGCAGGAAGTCCTTTCGTGATGATGACATGGAGGCAGTTGGGAGTCGGAGCTGTGACGGTGTGATTCAGTGACCATCAGCACGCAGTGGGGGTGCGGGGAGCACCGAAAAGGCTTTCCTAAGGAGCAGCATTTCCGTGGAGAGATTTAGCTCCTGTCCGTGGCCCTTGAGTCTCCTCTCAATATACTTACGGAGAGAACTTGGTACAAGATGACACTCTTCTAGCACTGCACACTCCACGCTGTGCCCCATGGAATCGGAAAGCACTCATGAGTATAAGCCCTGAACCATTGGATGCATTTGTTTCTCATCACAGGACAGTGTGACCATCAACGAGGACAATTTGCCGATGTTCCATCGCTGTGGGATCATGGCGCTAGTTGCAGCATACCTCAACTTCGTCAGTCAGATGATAGCTGTCCCTGCGTTTTGCCAGCATGTCAGCAAGGTAATGTGTGTACAGACTCCTTCAGCTGGGTTTGTACCCCCCCCAAATGGCTCATGTTTTTCGAGGGATGATCGTTTTTTATTTTGATGATTACATATCAAGTTATTAAAGTCATTCCTTAGAAATATGCTGTGACCGTGTCGAAAGTCCAGCTGAAAGCTCCAGCTAGTGTTGCCGTGTGTTTTCCCGGTGCCGTTCGCATGGCACACATGGTTTTCTTTTTGTATCGTTTACTGTTTCTGTTGCTGAACGTATGCACAGCAGACCACGCACGGATCTTCAGTGGCCGTGGTTTCCTTCTTCAAGTTGTCCAGCCCTTCTCGCCCTCCTCTTTGGAATTGTTCTCCCCCCATTAGCACCAAGTCATTTCCCCAAAACTCCCTAGTTAACCTTTTGACTTGTTTTTCTCAGTATGGTCCCATATGGATTTTTTTAAAAAGATTTCCATTGAGTTTGTTGTGACTCACAGCAACCCCACCAAACAAAGTAGTACAGCTCATAGGATTTCCAAGGCTCTCAACCGACCGGCAGCCGTGAACAGCACCACCAACACCAACACCAACACCAACACCAACACCAACACCAACACTCTTTACAGAAGCAGACTGCCGCCTCTTTTTCCCGCAGAGGGGCTGGTGAATTTGAACTGCTGACCTTTAGGTTAGAATCCTAGTGCACCACCAGAGCACCGCACCTATGGCTAGTTCTTCAGAGAGCATAGTGCTCAGACAGACGGCCCTGACAATTGATGCTAAATTCTTGTATTTATTTATGAAAGAAGACTGAAGGGGGTAATTTTGGTGTAATGGTGTAAAGATCTCAGAGCAGTAGATTTGGTGTTCATCCAGCCTCAGTGGCTCCAGGAAGTCGAGGTTCCATAAGAATTAGACATTTTGGCCCACATTTCCCCCTTTTAGAATACATAATTTTCTAACTTTTTAGAGTTTCATGTAATTTGCTTATTTAGTTTTTTCTTCCACTTGAGCCATTATAAATCTACTTTCTTAAATCACTTGAGGGCACTTCAAAGAGCTGGTGGAAAGTGGAATGAAAGATAATGGCATTTTTCCACAAACTGTTTAAAGCCCCTCATACTGTATTTTGTTCTTATTATATTAACCAAGCTGCTTGATGTAAATCTTACAGAGAATTGTCTGATGTCATCTAACCACATTTAGCATTTTTCACTGATGACTCATTATATAATTACTTATATGATTTAGCATAAAGGAACTAGAACTCCACCCAACTGAGTCACTAGACAATATCTCCATCAGCAGAGAAAAGATCAAAGTTGTCAAGGATTTCCTTTGATGTGCACCCCCCATCTCTGCTCCTGTAGGCAGCAGATCTGCTGCAGAAGACCCCTTTCAAATGTTAATAAGCCAGGATACCACTTTGAAGACTAAGGTGCACCTGACCCATGGCATTTTCAGTCACCTCACATGCAGGTGAAAGGTGGACAATGAATAAGGAAGACCAGAGGAGAATTGATGCCTTGGAATCAGTTGGTGGAGAAAATGAAAGTACCATGGACTGCCAGAAGAGCATATGACTGCTGAGAAGAGTGTCAAGCAGAACCTCAGCTTTATGAAGATGGCAGTACATGTGCATTAAGAAAGTTGGCAGTCCTTTTTCACATGTTGGGTTTTAGTACATTGTAATAAATAAATCTCATTCATTCACTGAATAAACATTTCAGTGCGTATTTAATGGCAGCCTTTAGAGATGTAAACATTACAAAGGCAGAGCCTCTCAGTTCAAGACCAGACCTGCCCAGAGCAAGGCGGTCTCTTCAGCTTCTCCCACAGTGGGGCCTGGTGCTCTCTGGTGGTCTTCCAACTGGTGATGTGTGAGAAAATCAGTGTTCCTAGCCCTTCCATTAGGGAGCTCTGGTAGCAGAGTGGATTGCAAGCTGAGCTGCTAACCACAAGGTCAGGTGTTCAAACCCAGCAGCCACTCCTTGGAAAACCCTAGACAGAGTTGCTGTGAGTTGAACCAACTCAATAACACAAAACAACAACATCCCTTCTGTTAACGAAGTATAATGCTAGATACTAATGTTATTTTTGATACATGTATTTCTTTAGCTGAATTATCATTTTGTTAATTCATTTTTAAAAGTAATGTGAAAATAAAATAAACTCTTCATTTGAGCTCTGACTTAGCCAAAAGCCAAAAGAAAATGATGTATGTCTTATAAATGCTTAAAGGTTTTGTTTTTATTTTTTGTTTTTTTCCTTTTTTTAAAAAAAACAACAACTTTAATTTGTTTTCCCATATTCCCTAGCAAGATACTGAGAGGTGAGGTTTTTATTTTTGTTTTGTTTTGTTTTTGGCTGTTTTTCAGGTTATTGAAATTCGAACTATGGAAGCCCCTTATTTTCTACCAGAGCATATTTTCAGAGATAAGTGCACGTACGTTAATTCTTTACATTTTCAGAAAGGGCACTGACTTGAGCAAGCAGTCAGTAATGATCGTCTATAGATGTACTGCCGTTCCAGTGATCTCCCGGTGCTATGTAATCATCTCTGTCACTTCATTCAGCTTATTCCTTTTGCACATTAAAAATGTAGACTCAAACGCACACACGGCCTAAGCCTTGGATTAAAAAATGAGGTTTCCCCAGGCTTTCTGAAACGATGCGGTACATTTCTTAAGTTGGGCATTGTCCCTGTTCTCCTGTGTAATGGCCACTTCTTTAGCAGAACACAGTGTCCTGTCCAAGACTTTCCATAATGATAGCCATGCTCGTACAATGGGGAGAAAGAACACGTCAATGACATTTTTGGAAAATCTGTAAATAATATTTTATTCAGCCTTTTGGCCAGCCGCTGAACACAGTATCGTGTTGGAGGAATCCGAGCAGGATAGTGCCAGGCTGTCGTATGTAGCTAAAACAGGAGCATGCGGCCACTTAGCTGTCACCTGTCTTTCATGAACCATCAGTGAGCTGCATTTTGATTTTCTTCCCTCACTGAATTTTGTAATTACATGAAAGAGCTCATTCTCTCGTCCTCATCATTGAATGTGTAAGTGCTGACAGAGTAGTCCAAGGCAGAATTCACTGTGGGAACATCACTGAGAGACAAAAGCAGAGTGGATGATAGAAGGGAGCACTGGTTGGACCGTGTGCTTCAAGTAGTTCAAAGTCGTTTCCTAAGAATTATATTGTATGTTGCGTTTATATCTGGAGTTTTGGGAGTTTTGCTTTAGAATGCTTTGCAGTTAACTTTATTTTGTCCTGCAACGTAAATACGATTGAATAAATTGTTGTTTTGATCAACCTGACAGGCTTCCAAAGTCTTTAGAGAAGCATGACAAAAGTTTGTATTTTCTGAGCAATATGATTGCGGAGTCCCTGGGTGGAAGCGGATACAGTGTCGAGAGGTTGTCCGTTCCTTATGTACCACAAGTAAAAGGTAAGGGGGACAACTAGAACTCTCAGGCCAGTGACTGAGTACGTGTCATTTCTGTTACTAAATTAGCATTGAAATTGGATTCTGCTGTTTCTACCTGGTCCATCACAACTTTTCTGAAATGCCTAAGAATATGTTCACTCCTGTTGCTGAAGTCTGCCCTTAAAAACTGAAATGGTGTATCTGATTACAAGTGACTGAGTATTTCTACTTATTATATTTAATGCGTTTTTACACTAATATATTGTTCCTCTTAGTAGTGCTTTAAGTGAATTATTCCCTCATTAAAAGAATATGGTATTAATGTCTCAAAATTGCTAACACCTCTGTAATTGTTTTCTTGTTACTGAGTTTCATCCGTCAGGCAACTGTTGTCAGCTGAGAGAGGCCTGACTGTTGGCTTGCTATGACGAGAGCCCTGCACACTGGAAGTTAGGAACATGAAGGGCTCTCTCTGTGTTTCCCTTTCCTCTGTCTTACTCTGATCACTCTGTTGTATTCCAAAGCAAAACTGCATGGTGTATTGCATTCAGTTTCACCTAAAAAACTAAAACCAAAGAATTTCTGTCTTATACTTCCATTTTATTTGATGACTATATAAGGAGCTCTTCTAGCGTAATGGTTACGAATTGGGCTGCTAATCTCAAGGTCAACAGTTTGAAACTACCAGCTGTTCCACAGGAGAAAGATGAGGCTTTCTGCTCCCGTAAAGATTTACAACCTCAGAAACCCTGTACAGGGTCGCTATGAGTCGGAACCGACTCCGCGGCACAGAACCAACCACCATATGAATACTTATGTTGTTAAGTGCCGCTGAGTCAGTTCCAACTCATAGTGACCCAAACCGGTCTTTCAGTCCAGTGCTTATCCAACACCACCACACACCAGGACTTCATACATACTTTCTTTGTTGTTAAGTGCTGTTGACCCATAGGGCCCTGTGTAGGGTTTGCGAGGAGTGCCTGGTGAGCTGGAACCACCGATTGTGCTGTTCAGTACAAATTGCCGTCCAGTGCATTAATCACAGTGCCACACAGGACTCCGTAAATAGTTACAGATGTTACCGTTTTGTTATTTATATGTTCATTTATATAGTTATTGAATATGTCAAGTTTATAACTTATATTTTATATTTTGTTCTTGTTGTCTGGTTCTGTCGAGTCAGTTCCTGCTCATAGCAATCCTATGTACAAAAGGACAAAACACTGGTTTTGAGCCCACTGTTGCTGCCACTGTGTCAGTCCATCTTATTGTAGGCCTTCCTCTTGTTCGCTGACCCTGCACTTTACCAAACAGAAGGTTCTTTCTGATAACATGTCCGAAGTATGAGAGATGAAGTCTCACTGTCGTTGTCTCTGAGGAGCATCTGGGTGTACTTTGTTTTCTGAGACAGATTTGTTCATTCCTCTGGCAATTGATGGTAATTTATTGTTGTTGTTGTTAAGTGCTGTCGAGTCAGTCCCGACCCATAGAAACCCTGTATATGGTTTCCAAAGAGTGGCTGGTGCATTTGAACCTCTGACCTTGCTATTGAAACAGACTTTGCAGTCCAGCACGTTAACCCACAGTGCCGCACCAGGACTCCAGCCAGTGGTATAGTCATTATTTTTCCCTACACCACAGTTCAAAGGCCTCGGTTTTCCTTTGGTCTCCCTTATTCACTACCCAGCTTTTGTGTGCATATGAGGCAAAAGCTGGGTCAGGTACATCCTAGTCCTCAAAGTGACATCTTGGTTAGTGAACACTTGAAAGAGGTCTTCTGCAGCAGATTTGCCCGTTGCAATATGTGCTTTGATTTCTTGACAGCTGCTTCCATTTTGCATTGATTGTAGATCCAAGCAAAACGAAGTCTTTGACGCCTTTCGGTCTTTTATCTTAATGCTGCTTGTAAGTCTAGTATGAGGGCTTTTGTTTTCTTTATGTTCAGATAAAGGGCGCTTTAAAGAGTTTGTAGAAAAGTTTCATTATCTCTTAATTCCATTTTCCATGAACCATGTGAAGCCCTTTCTTAAAATATCACTAAAGGTTGTAGTCTTTGATCTTCTTTATTAAATGCTCAAGTCCTCTTCACTTCTAGCCGGCATTTGATACTACGATCTCAAATGTAAGTCAGATATTTATATTCTCGTCCAATAAAATGAAGGCATAAGATAGAAATTATAGGTATCCGGTGTAAGTCAGATACCAGTATTGTCATCCAATGAAATGAAGATGTTAGATAGAAATTAGAGATATCCCATGTAAGATATTTATATTGTTATCCAATTAAATGAAGATATAAGATAGAAATTTTTATTTTAGTCAGGTAAAAATAATGCAAGACATGTTTTGCCTTGAAATACCACAGAATCATTAGAGGCAGTGAACAGAGTCAAAGGATGGTACAAAGTAAAAGACCATTCGTAACTGGAGAAGTCTGCATGTTTGTCTACATTGCAGTCTGTGCTCTTTCAAATGGCAAAAGCCCTGGTGACTCAGGGGTTAAGCGCTCAGCTGCCATCACAGAAGCTGGCAGTTCAAATCCAGCCATCTGCTCTGCAGAAGGCAGACCTAACTCTGCTGCTGTAGAGCCGAAGGAGTAGCAAAGGTGACAGCTCAGGCCCCTCTGGCGCAGTCGTGTGTCACGTGGTGCCACTCAGAGCTGGAAATCGACTCCATGGCATCCAACTATAAACACCCGATGCAGTGGAACTAGCTCTCTACTGGGGATCGAGTTGACTGCATGAGCACTTTTCATCACATGGGATAGTGTGGACAAGAGAGTTTGTTTTACACTTTGATAAAGTGTTTTATTGTTGTACGTCTTCAGTCGCACAGAAAAAATAATTTCCCCTATATGTTACACTGCATTTAGATTTTCCGAAACCTACTCCATATGTCAGAATCTTGGTGTGGTGCTGTAGGATAAGCACTGAACTACTGACCACAAGGTTGGTGGTTCAAAACCATCAATCACTCCTTGAAAACCCTATACAGGGTTGCTATAAATTGTAATGGACTTACGGGCACTTCACAACAACAACGCTATATGTCAGCCTGTGAAATACTATCCAATTACTATCTTTACATTTACATAAATGTTTGCCTTTGTTTTCTTCTGTAAAGTTTTAAAAGGTCGTGTTTTGATACTTAATTCTCCGGCAGCGTGTCTTAGTTTAATATATTGAAGTGTATGCTTATGTAATATTTCTCCAAGGGCACTGTTTGGTATCTGGTTTCAGTTAGATAATTTGCTGAATTAATCATCGAATGTCATACAGTCATTGTAAATAGCTATACCTCTTTATGACGTGAGTCTAACGCTTACTATAATGATAGCCACTCATAGCAGTCTGAGGTGTTATGAATGCCTTTTTTTTTTTCTTTGAGATACTAGACTATGAAAAGTTCTGTTCTTCATGAATTCCTTGGAGAAGTAAGTGCTAACTAAGAACAAAAAAAGAAGTAGAGCGTTATAATTTAAAAGTTTTTTTGTTTTTGTTTTTTTTTTAACACTTTGAAATTTTTCATTTTCATTATTTGGATTTAGCTTCTCTTTTCTTCAAGCACAAGGCCTCCTGAGTCTAGGTGTCAGCACAGGTAAAGTGAAGCCACAGTGAGCCTGACTTTCCTCAGCTTCCCTCAGACAGAGCTTCAGAAAGTTTGCCTCTTGGAGCCAGTGGCCCGTGCACGTCATGTAGTACCCAGTTTAGCTGTGATTTGTGTTTTTACCTCTCCTTAGCAGTAGTTTTATTTTATTTTTAGCCCTTTGTTACTTCCTTGACCTCTGGCTTTTTAACCCTTAATAATTCTCAGTGAAAGTCCTGGTCCTTATAGTTTTTTCCTTTTCTTCTTTAGGTGGTTAGCTCTTCCTCCTTTCCTCCCATATCTGAAAAAGATGTCCGAGGAGCTGCAAAAAGTCCGTGGATAAGTGGAATGAAAAGATAATGGAATTTTTCCACAAACTTTTTGAAGCCCCCTTGTGTTATTCTTAACCCGGTCTGTTCTTCAGTGGAAAATTCTAAACATTTCCATATGTGCTTTTTTACCTTGTGCTGCATAGAAATCCCCTACGTATGAGTACGATTTTTCTGATTTACAGTGCCTTTGGTAGTTAGGAGCTAACTGGCATGCAGGTCCTGCTGTAAGTCAGAGGAACTTAGCAGGACAATCAGTCAGTTACTCAGTGTCCCTTTCACTGGAACCGTCAGATATTTAAACGTTAAGGGATTTGGTGAAATGCTATAGGATAAGCACTGAACTGCTAACTGCCTAGTCGGTGGTTCACATCCACCAGCCACTCCTTGAAAACTCTATACAGGGTTGCAGAGTCGAAACTGACTTGAGGGCATACAACAACAACAACAACAAAGGATTTACTAAGAATATGGCAAAGCAGAAAGCGACATATTCCGTTTTTTGCCTGTGATGCCTGCACCTATCATAACAATACTGTTGTTGTTGTTGTTAAGTACCACGGAGTCGGTTCCGACTCACAGCGACCCTGCACAGGGTTTCCGTGGCTGCAGATCTTTACGGGAGCAGAACGCCTCGTCTTTGTCCCACGAACCGCTGGTAGTTTCGAACTGCTGACCTTGAGGTTCGCAGCCTGATTCGTAACCACTACGCTACCAGTTATCATTTATTGTGTACTAACTGTGTGCTAAGAAGCTCTGGTAACGTAGTGGTTACGAATCAGGCTGTGAACTTCAAGGTGAGCAGTTCGAAACTACCAGCTGTTCCACGGGAGAAAGATGAGGCGTTCTGCTCCCGTAAAGATCTGCAGCCTCGGAACCCTGTGCAGGGTCGCTGTGAGTCAGAACCGACTCCACGGCACACAACCACCACTGCCAACTGTGTACCAGGTACTATGATTAGTATTTTGTGTTTGTTTCCTCATTTAATTCTTAAAATCATTCAGTGAGGAAGGCTCACAACAGATGGTAGTGAGGTTGATTAGGTGTAACATTAGAAATAACTACTTTTCCTGTTTACTTAGATACTTAATGAGTTATTTGATTCTG